GCTACAATGTAGCTTGCCATCACCAGTGTGTGAATGTGTGTGTGAATGGGCGAATGACTGAATGTAGAGTAAAGCGCTATACAAATCCATTTACCATTTACCATTTAAAAAGACACAAAAAAAGAAGCGAATAAGGTCATGTTATGCCACAGTTTTGTATACCTCATTGCCTCAAATTGGGTGAATGTGATCAGAAAACTATCTGTGTATTGTTGGCAAGTTGAGTTCCCTGCATTAAATATACCTTCACAGGCTCTCAGAAGTCAAACATATGTACAATGTGATATGATCAGGATGTTTTTCTGTTTGTGCCAGGTGTAATAATACAAACATGTGCCATGGAACAAGTATTAGGAAGACTTTGGAATCAAGAAGCAGAAAAAACATTTGAACTTTCTCTGTATCATAAGTGGCATATATTTAAGGCGTGGGTTTAATAAATGCTAAATGAACTGGCTGTTATATAGCACTTCTTCTGCTCTACCTGAGCAGTCTATCAAAGCCCTTCATCCATTCACACTGTCACCTTTTTTTATGCTTAAGTGCTTTCTGTCTAACATTCACACTCTGGTGAAGAACAAATTGGGGTTGGTACTTGGCATACATGATTTTCTCATACATCAAAAGGGAAGTAAGATAATTAGTGCTTATTATTTTTAAGATTTGTTGGCTAAACCAAAGACTGGAGTAAGATGTGAATGCTTGTCTTTGGTGTGAGTGTCAATGATTCAGCTATCTACTCTATTCATTTTCATGCTGGATATTTCTAGCACATATATAGGGGAGTTTCAGAATTCAGTATTACTTCCCACATGGAGACTGTACAAGCTTGCTGATTTGATGTCTTCCTTTCCTTTCCCCAGTAATTTCGTCAGTAGGTTTGGAAGGAAAAATAGTTGCATCATTGATGTAACACTAAATTAGTCGCTCTCTATGCAGAAAGGCAATTCTGTACAATTCTGCACAGTATGCGTTGACATGTCTGCCTGATGTCATATCTCAAAATATCTGTGTATCAGTGTAAAGCTGCTGGAACTATGAAAGACTAAACTATAGTCTGTGCACTGGCTGCTTACAACTATCTGACCTCTTATTTAACAGTATCTTATCATGCACTACTGTCTTAAGGATAAGACACAGCTGGTTTTACTGTAATTCGTATGAACTTTGACCCCTAATAAGGAAGCTGTAATCGCATACTGCTTCCTCTGCCGCAGTGACCATGGTAACCGTTACCAAGGGAATAGACTATGGAATTTTCCAGCACAGACAGAGCCTCTTATTGGTCTTTTCATTGGAGTGGTCATATCTCAGGCAGAAACAGGAGAAATTATGACCATATTTCAAATCTGGCCATATAATGAATTGCCATTACTGATCTTTAATTGTCATCTAACTCTTCACAAGATACAGTAGAATGAGTTTTTGAGAAATATTAATAGAAATTTCAAATTTGCTGGCTTGTAGGCATACAATGTCAAGCAATTCAAGTTTAAATAAACACTTTAAACAAGGCTACTGAGAGCTATGGGAAATTTTAGGTACCACTGGGCATTTATAGAAGATTCTAGAAGATTTGTAGAAGTATTATTAATATTTAATGTCAACAATGCTGCCTTTCTTTTATTGTTCTCATCATGTCTGTGTTTGTGGAGATTTAAACTTAGACTTATTCAAACAACAGTACATACAAAGTACAGCCTGGGACGGTGTCCAATCAATTCTTCTTAATGACATCAGTGCTGATTTACCCATTTTTGCAGGTTTCTTAGATCCAATCTGCCAAACTGCTCATCTCACAGAAGACAAAAGGGAAGAACCCTGTATCTCTTCTTCACTGATTCTCCACCTTCTGCTACTGGATGTCACATCTTCTGAGATGACATCTAAACATCCAATCACATTATTAACATCTAATCACCTGACCACTTTATCATCGTTTCGCTATCTATCTGACTTACATGATTTACCACAAAGTTAAAACTCTATAATCACTTAAGAAAAATTCTATCACATATGGATATAATTCGTTTCATGTTCCATTCAGTTTATGTAATTCTACCTCAATTACATTTGTCTTTAGCACATTCTCACATGAACATTCATTCTAACATAATTACTTTCTAATTCAAATACAGAGGAATATTTTTTTTTACTTTTTAAAACTGTGTTTGTCAGTCACCATTTATTCAATGCAATTTCCTTTTATTAATCATTATATTTAAATAGTCAGACATTCAGTGGCTCCTGTGTGTCGCTTTCACCCCCACTCTGCACCACACACACCTACACACCAAGGTCAGACTCTGCACAGGCTCTCATATTGCATAGATTGTCATGATCCTGGGTCCTTTTGACCCAGCGTTTTGTGTTTTCTGTTATTGTGATTTTGATTCTGTTCTTCCTCTGTTTAGTGTTTATTCGGTTCTGCCCATGTATTCCTGTGTTAAGTCCGTGTTTCTTAGTCCGTGTCCTTGCATGTGTAAGTTCCTGTTTTATTGTGAAGGTCTCTGTCTTATGTCAGTGTGTTCTGTTTATGTTTCCCCTGCCTCGTCAGCTGTGATGTCTTCCAGGTGTGTTCCCCTCCTGTTTCCCATCCCCTGATTCCTGGCGTGTGTATTTATAGTGTGTGTTACCTCGGCCTCGTTGCTGGTTCGTCTGTGTTATTTGGTGTTTTCGTGTCTGTGAATCTCCTGCCGTCTTCCTGTGAGTTCTCCCCGCAAAGTACTCTCATTTGTGTTCTGGGCCCTATTTCAGGAAGCCGGTTTAGAAAACTCAGAGTGGAAAACGATACTCAGGGTTGAGTAACCCCGAACTGTCCAACTCGGAATATTCGGTTTCAGAAAGGCTGATAACAA